GAAAATAGTTTCTAGTTTGGAATGTTACCAGGTCACTACTCATCGCATTGAGAATACCTATCACCATTCATGTTGCTGTCCATACATTTTCGACTTTCATTACCGTAATTCAACAATTTCATTATTGACGCCCGTGTCTAATAAGATTAGGCGCTTCCGTGTCAGATTTGGCGCGCTGTGCTAAAATTAACCGTTCTTTAACGAAATGCTTCGCGATTCTTTGTCTGTGTTTACCCTTTCCTCCATTCAGCCGAATCCTTTTCGGCTTCCTCAAGTCTTCCTCTCGTACTGATCAACATCTTTCTCCTTTCAGTTACCATTTCCTCCGTGTCTTACTTGGGCTTTAGGGCCATTGCTTCGCATGGCAGAACGAATTCGTTTCGCCGCTGCGCGGGGTGCTGTATAAAGCTATAATTTTGGAAATTCTTGTCTGACCTCTTACAGCGCTATTCATATTTATGTGGACAAGCATGTGCCTCCTTGCAAGTAGGTTCACCACTCACCCAAGCTTTGCTCGCTTGGGTTTGCCCGGATCTTTGTATATGAACAATTATGGTGCATCTCGGGCATCTCGGGGAAGTCCGATTTAATTAATGCAACTATTTTCCTGGTTTTTTTTTGTTGCATGAGAGGCACAATTATCAACCGGGTCGATTCCAGCAGAGAAAATATCGACTGGTCCCCAAACTCCACTCATAACTTCCCGTCACCCTACCCAGTCAACAATCCATGCGACAGACATTTTCACAAATAATGGCCAAGCCACACGGTGGTAGATCTCGCATCGTGGTGTGGAATTCTTCGACTTTTCTCCAATATCCCGGGCTGACCAAATTCAGTGCCTCCTGGACTGAGAGCCCCTGTAGCACCACAATTACAGCATTGTGTGTCACGTCGCGCATGCTCAACGTTGGAAGAGATGATATCCTGTGCTGGCAGATAGTGACTTGATGTGGGAGTTGGTCGTGTGATGTGTAAATTTCCTAGTTAGGCGGAAAATATTGAGACCGAGCGTCTCCAAACGCGCGATCTACCAGTCCTGCAATTTTTCCCCTGGAATTTCGTGTGCAAGGTAAAGCAGCATGTCACAGCACCGGTTTTCCGCCATAAAGTTGAATATGAGTTAACGTTGCTCCGTATCGAATTTCATCGCTCTATTTGGCCTATCCTACAACGGCCTTCAAGTACAGTATGTAACTCGATCTGTAGTATTTCTTCACGGATTGTAAAGTGAGTGAAGGAAAAGAAAGGCGAAGAACGTTCGAAGGGGACTGGGGACGCCGGAAATGATGGAATACAAGGCACATCAAGTTGTACTACGCCTATGTAATCTATCGCCCAGCAACACATCAGATACTGCGTGGAACAGAAGCAGAAAGCACAGGACTCACAATTGAATGTCAACGCGTCAGTCGCGACTACCATCCATCACTGTTTAGATGATAGCTCAGTCGCGACGAACAAAAGTATTCGGGTCAAAGTGAAAAGGACTTACATTGCTGAACGAAAGCGCGAGCCGCTATGAGGGCGGCCTCCAAACCGCGCTCGTTCTCGGTCTCGGCGACTGTGAGGATGGTATTCAAGTGGATAGTGGCCTTCATGAGCAGCCGCTGTGTCTCGTGGTAGAGGTTCGTGGTCGTATGAGCCTGGGAAGCGAGGGAGGCAACACTGGCGCGGAGCAATGCAATTTCGGCGGCCTGGGGATATGTGACGAGGGAGGATGAAGTTTTGACTGTTCTGTGTGCGCGCCACTGGGCCACGACGAGTCAACCGGAGGTTGACGAGGAGTGGCAGTTTCAAGCCTTTTCAAGCAGGAAAAATGAAAATGTTAGATTTTAACATTCCCACGTAACGAAGCACGGGTCACTGCTAGATTGAAGTTGAACCGTTGAACATAGACTCAAATTCCACGACGAGACGACGACCATATCATCACCCACATGCCGAGAAGACCCCTGAGCCGCACGAGCTCGCCACCTCACCCCCTCGGCGCCGACCCGGCACTGTATTGTTTTACGAGTGTTTACAGATTAGAGAGAGCTTTGGGGAGAAAAACTGCCAGTGGAAACACCCCATAAACGGTAAATTTGAACAATATGGGCCAACCTTGCTGAATCTGAGATCGAGAGCTACTTGGTGACAAGGTCGGGTACCCCGAGAAACTCTACCAGTGGAAACACCCCATAAACGGTAAATTTGAACAATATGGGCCAACCTTGCTGAATCTGAGATCGAGAGCTACATGGTGACAAGGTCGGGTACCGCGAGAAACTTATACCAGTCTATGCCCTGTTAGGCGCATCAAAAAACCACATTTGAAGGTGGAGGAGTGACTCCGAATGTATGTATGCTCGACGTCACAGAGGTAACAGATACTTTGGAAGCAGTGGTACATTTTTTGAGTTTTGTAGATGGGCACTAAGGTTGATCAGGCTTGGATCAGGATTTTTTGTAGATAGTGTACCCTCGAAAATTACTTAGAAGTTGTAGCCCTCAAGGCAAGAACAAGAACTTTTCGAGGTCCATGATCATTATTAGATGAGTGAGAATGTCGTATATATATATGGAGCACAAGTAGGAAGCAGGGCCCAGGATTTTGTGGAGACGAACCTGCGTTTGGTCTGGGGCTGCCGTGTTGCGTGTAGTGTAGTTGACAGCTTGCTTGAAACTCCGAGTGTTCAACTTGACATAGTTCGGGAATTCTCTGGATTCAGATTACTGGCAGATAGATAGAATATACGTCGTATACCCATCTAATTGGTGTCTTTGTTGAACGTAAGAGCTCAGTTTTAGCAGAAGTAGCCTCGGTGAGGCTCGGGAGTTAATTGGAAGACAGAGTGGGATGCCGATGTGACGTACAATCGAGTAACTAAAGGTGTGGGTATATGGAATATGGGTGGGAGAGAAAAATTGCAGACAGCAAACTGGCGAGACATAGTGAGAGAGAGGTCCGTTGACGTAAGTAAAGGGAATTCGTACCCGGCGAGACAGAGTGAAAGGCCGAAGAGCCGATTTTGTCTCGCCAGGATATATATCGGAGCGGGTGAAACACCAGAGCGACAGGTGAGACACAAAAGGCATACTTGGGCCGTTGGCCCCTAGAAATATTGACATGCTTTCGGCCACCGGTAAGACAATACCGCTTCCGCCCCGGGGGGTAGGTATTGTCCCGTATTCCGCTTGCGACCTGAGAGGTGGGAATACTCAGGTAGGTGAATTGCATGCGTAAGGCTTGCCTCCAATTAGACTCGAGTAAACATCATTTTAAACCCGACTAATTGGAGTCGTCGTTGAGCGTAAGAGCTCAATTTTAGCAGACGCAGCCTCGGCGAGGCTCGGGAGTTAATTGGAAGACGGAGTGAGATGCCGATGTGGCTAATAGGGTAATATATGTGTTGAAATGAGATATAGATGGAGAAGGCAGGACACGAACTCAGCGGCGCGAGTGTAGCATTGCCTGTAGGAGAACTGGATGTTTCGGGATGTAGGCCCGGGTGTTGGAGACCCATCGGCCCGACGCCAGGATGACAGTGAGAGGGCGCCGTCCTCGCCCAATGCCGTAGCGCCGCCTGCTCGCATGGACTGGCCGGTGTCAGGAAACAGGTGGCGCAGCTTTCTCATGAACAATGCACGTGTTGGAACCTTGCCGTTGCTGAGGATCCAGAGTTAGGGGTTGAGTGGGTGGAGACGGTCTCGAGAGCCGAGATACGTGCGAAAGGCCATAGGGGCATCGGCGTCCGTTACTAGATAGGCACGGCAACAAGCCCCGCCTTAGAATGGCGTAGGCAGACTGGTTGCGAGTCTAGTACGTTACGAGGACGTGACTACCCTCGAACATGGTGTCAGATTTGTGCGCTGGCGACCAGTACTCGTAGGACGTTGCTTGGAGGGCCGCAGAAGTTCGTTTGCTGTACTTCCGGGGGTTCCCTCAACGTGGGGTTGTCGGCATGGCGAGCTCCCCCAGTCGCAGTAGGGCGTGAAAGCCGGCGAAAAGTTGGGAGAGGAAGAGGCAAGAGGTGTGCTGCCGAAGATGCCGATCAATTCGCCATCTTACTTATCTTGCCGCTGTCTCCGGATCTTCGGTCGACGCACTTCTTTGCGCCACACCGCACCGCACCCTCTCCTTGCATCTCTTCTCGCATATCCTCCCATCTGTGCCGAAATCCATCGCGTCCCCGTGCTACATCCACATCATCTCGTCCGCGCCGAAATCCAGCCGTCATCGCTGCATCCGTCTCTTGTGTTATTGGGTCTCATCGTGTATCTCTCCCCGTCTGATTGTGCTATTGCATATCTGTATCTATAGCTAACCTCGTTTCCTTCCTCGTTCGTGTTTCCTTGCTGCGCGTTCGCGTTTTCTTTTCCCTCTTGCGCACTTCCCGCTCTTCCGCGTTCATACACATATCTCATGCTCGCACGCGCACTTCCCCTTCCCATACCTCCGCTCTTGCGCGTCCATACATAAATACATTTCCCGTGCTCGCGTACATTCATACACACGTATCTCGCGCGTTTTCGCGCTCGTATTTCCGCTTCGCACTTCTCACTTCGTTATCGTACATATGGGGCCGTTGTCGCTGTCTTCTCTCATTGTGTATCTATTAGGTTGTTTTGGCTGTCTTCTACTCCTTCTGGTTCTCTTTCTCATTCACAGTCGATTCAATTTGTCGTGGTTCGTCTTCTCAGCCACAGAATGGCAGCTGAAGAGGGTGCACGAATTCCTCGGTCCTTGATTTTGGTTTTTCTGCCGCGTTTTAACTGCCAACGGGAGAGTTGGGTCGAAAATCGGTGCGTTATTCAACCTCGCGGCTAGGCCCTCAACTCGGGTGGTGTACGGAACACACTGCTTGCGATTTCATGGTAAGTTTCATTGAAGGAGAGAGCCGGGTTCGATTCCCGGCGCCCGAATTTCTTTGTTCTCCATTACCTTTTTTTTCCAGCGTTCAGATATTTTGGTGTAGAAATTAGTGGTATATGCAGGGTGCAACCTGAGGACTCAATCGGGTGTGGTGTACGGCGCACGCTCCTTTCTCCTGCATCTCTAAAAATGGGTTGAAGGGGAGACCCGGGTTCGATTCCCGGCGCCCGAACTGTCCACTCTTCCCACATTTTTTTTCAAACAAAAATCTTTTGTGGTTCAAAAAATTGCCGACATATGCAGTATGAACTAGACTGCTGGGATCAATTTCTTTTTTCCCTTGCGCGCCTTCAGCTTGCTGTTTCGGTGCGAAAATTGAGGGACATTCGTGGTGCAGCGCTTTTTTTTTTTTTTTTTTTGCACACCTACATATTTATAATAAGGCAGTTATATGTATTTGTGAAGGTACAGTGTCGCCTGGATTTTCTCGTTCGAATGTCAGTAGGATGCCACCAAAGCCCTCAACTCGGGTGTGGTATACGGAACACACACATTCCTCTTACTTTGGGTGGGGGAGAGTCCCGGGTTCGACTCCCGGTGCCCGAATTGTCCAGATGTTCTCTAGCCTTTTTTTCCGCGTTCGGATATTATGGTTTATAATTGGGGCAGTATAAAGGATGTAAAGGAGGGAAGAGAATCGGGTGTGGTGTATGGAACACACTCCTCTTTCTGGTAATAGTATGTGCAGAAATATGGATGAAAGGGAGACAACCGGGTTCGACTCCCGGTGCTCGAATGAAGGGATTCTCGTAAAGTCTGTTTGGCTTCAAGCTGTAAAAGCTAGTTCAAACATCTGTGGTATGAGGAGGGTCCAACCCAAGCACTCAATTCGGGTGTGGTGTACGGAACGCACTCCCTTCTGTTCAGCTAAGTCGAGAGGTCGAAAGGGAGAGACCCGGGTTCGACTCCCGGTACCCGAATGAGCCAGCTTCTCGCTTTTTTTTTCTGATCTTAAACTTCGATTTTCTGTCATCTTTGCCTCGACTGGGGCGTGGTGTACGGAACACACTACCTCCTCTTATTTCGTGGTAGAGAGATGGAATTGAAGGGAGAGATCCGGGTTCGATTCCCGGTACCCGAACTGCCGACGCTGCTCGCTTCTTTTTGTTCGAAAACTCAAGGTGGGCAGCATTCTTCCCCCGCACAAACTTGGATATCTCTGACTGAACAGTTGTTCAATAATACTGTAATCTCCTGTCAAGTGGGTAGATAGGTCAGTGGCTTATTCGACCTCGCAACTAAGCCCCAACTCGGGTGTGGTGTACGATACATACTCCCTCTTCAGGCCCGGGTTCGACTCCCGGTGCCCGAATGTGGCGCTACTGAGATTCCGTTTCTCTTTTTGACCTTTAGCTGGATATTTTGGTTCAAAATTCGGTGGATATCAGAGAATATGACGGTCTGGACGCAACGTAGAGAACCTCGTCGGGACTTTGAATTTGAATTTGAATTGATTTCGAGCCCGATAAATGGGCTGCTGCCCGCAAGCACGGTCGACTATGAATATCGCCAGGAGTAGGACCATTGGAACAATCAAATTGAGTCCAGGAGACAGAAAATAAATCAGTTCAGGACTACGGAGGATGTCGATTTACAGAAGGTATGATGGACGCCGAAAATCCCGAAGATTGCTCCAGAGCCAAATTCCGAGAGCTGCCATCATGGAGAGGTTGAGAGAACCGAGGATGAGGACAATCCTTTCGAAGATGGACTGTATTGGGGATTCCGTGTTCTCTGGAGATCGGCATCGGTGGGGCCAGTTAACAATGGGTGGCAGGGATGCGTACTCCCTAATTTTCCGAAGAGAGGCTGGCCAAAAGCTCGAGTGCGACATGAGTATGTTGTGTCCAGGAGCCCAGTTTATGTAGTGTGATCTGTGGTGGTCCCTCCGAATCCTGGCTCCTGTGCTGGATGCATTAGAAGAGAATGGATAAATGTGTTGCTGTTGTTCAACCAGCTCTGGCTGAGAACGATGTTCGCGTCGAAGGCAAAATTGCGAACGCTGTCATGAGAACAAACTCGAGCTCATTGAAAGAAGCTTGTCTTTCTCGGAGAACCCCAATGATGGGGAGGATGCTAAGCAGTTCTGGGTGTAGATTGCTACACGTACGCCAATCCTCTAAATGTCAAGTCCACAGGAATGCTGCAATTAAAGACAAGGCTCTGCATCATAGGAGTGGAAGAGAGGGACGAGGTACTGTGCCGGCTGAAACTGTAGATAACGATGTCTCAAACAGGAGTGCAGATCAGTAGGACGACACGATGATGCGGCTGGATTGGATACAGCCACGGGGCTGTGTTAATCCGAGGTGCCAGCCGCAAGGCATTGAGGAACGATTGACCTTTCGAATGTTGGTAGGTGATAAATAGAGATTCTACTCGAGGTCCATGAACATGGGCCGTAAATTAAGCACGCAATCCAAATTTGCAGCGTCGGCCTGGGGACGATTGCTAAACTGGTCTGTGAGACGAGATTTGGGCCTTGAACGAAGGTTGATCAGTTTGTGTAGGCATTTTTCGTGTTGGTCAGATAACTGTGAGGGAGAAAGACAGAAAGACCTAAAGACGGACAATGTCCGACAATCTGAGAACTTGTGGAAGTCCGCTAAATTGAAAATTCTAAGTAATACCCTGGATTTGATCAAGTAAGCCACCAGACGCGTGTATTCAACATATGAGAGACTTGGACTTGCACGCAGGTCAGAAATCAGCCCAGAAGTTGCACACCAGAGTGACAGTGCTTGGAGACGATGGTGGCGAAAGACAGAGTGGCTGCCAATCATTTTGATGATCATGATTCGGACCGTGTGATCCGTTGCTCTTGACATTCTTACCCACCTTCGTCCATCATGTTGCGCACCCACAGGGCGTCTCGCACTCGCCCAGCATCGCCATCGTCTACCTCATTCGCAACCACGCGATGAGCTATGACGCCACGCTCGCCTTCGTTAAGCGCAAGCGCGCGTGCGCCAAGCCCAACCCCGGATTCGCGCGCGTGCTCGTCGAGTGGGAGCAGAACTGGCGCCGCCCTCAGGCACAGAGGCGGTCCACGTCTTAGGCGTGTTGTCATCATCCACTTTGGATGGATGTGTTTTGTATGTGAAGGTGCGTGGGCGCGTTAAATGTGGATGACACGCAGATTGTCGGCGATCCCACTGTATCCACTCGTTTGCCCACGTTGTCTTCACTTACACACGACACACCGCCCTCTCACTTATCTCGCCGCTGTCTCCGGATCTTCTGTCCACGTCCACTCACTTCTTTCCTCTCGGGCGCTGACTTCTTTGCGCCACATCACCCGCGCGCTGTCCTCCTTCCTCCTTCCCTCTCTTCTCGCATCTCCGGTCTTCATCTTCCGCGCCATCTCTCCCATCTTCCGTGCCATCCACATCATCTCGTCCGCGCCGATTCCCTCGTCTCCGCGCTCTCACTCTCCGCATCCCCAAAATGATCCCATATGGCTTGATGTGGCTGTGTTCACTTGCAAAATCAATCTATATGGGTTGATAGCCGGTGCACCCGAGCAGGCACTTATTATTGTTTTTCGTCTTATTGGGTCTCATCATGTATCTGTCTGATTGTGCTTGTGCTAACACGTATCCGTATCTATATCTAACCTTGTTCCTCATTCCTCCATGGTTGCTGCGTGTTGCGTATTTATTTCTCTTTGCCCCCCTTACATACTCTGCGCTGATTATTCGGGGACTCGCCTCGTTTCTCTTCGTCGCGATCCGGCTCTTCACGCACTGGCGCATTTATCCATTTGCACTCGCGTGCACCTACATACATATCTCGTGTTTATGCCCGTGCACCTACACATCTCGTATATTCATACATATTTCCCCCTCCTTTCCACCTCGTCTTCACCTTCGCATATCGTACATATGGGGCGGTTGTCTTATCGAGTGTATCTATGGGGTTTTCCTTGCTGTTCTCTCCACACAAGTTGTGAAACCGTCGGAAGCGGTAGGAAAGCGATTCAGCTTGATATTTTGGTTCGATATGGAGGAGTGAGAGTGTCAAGCGGAAGTCGGGTATGGTGGATGGAATTCTATCCACACTTCAAGCCAAATTTGATGATATGCCGATGCGCACCACGCGCTACGGAGCCTTTTCTAGTGAACTGTCTCCGACTCTCTCGGTGAATGTTTGTAATTCTTCCAGCAACGAGATTTCGACTGGTCATCCTTGTTGTAAACGACGCTTTTCTACCCGGCGCTGGTTTCCATCATCCGCCGATGTGACTTCTATTGGCTTTCTTCGCTGATAAAATTGTTCTCACACCCGCGTTGTCACCGACAAAATGTCGACGGACTTGATGTGGGGAGTCATATTCCACAATAACATGTGATGAAATTGTAGAAGCACTTTTCCTCGCAGCATATGACTGCTCGAGGCTGTTATCAATCCTCAGTGCATGGACCTCAAAGAGGTTCTCACCATCTTTTTGACACCGCGGTCAAAGAACGACGCATGTCGTTTGACATGCTGTCAATGCATCTATTTCGGATCCGTTACTACAGTGTTGTGGCTCATACAGAGGTACTAAGGAGGGACAAACGGAAGGGACCACGGGACCCCCACGGGGCTGCAGCCTTCCCTTTGTCCCCCCGTCGTGCACCCTTTGTCCCTGTGAAGGACATTTTTCAACTGATGTCAGCTGTCGCACTAGATGTGAAATGGATTCGTCGATGGCATGTCAAATGACATGCGTTGTTCTTTGCACCCATTGGTTTGACCGTTTGATCAGATTCAACCTTGTTCCTCGAAGGTCATCGATCCTCGATCCTCATCGGTAATAGTATACTTCCTTACTGCTCAGTCACATCAGCCTTATCTGTCCAACTCCCATGAACTCGTTTGGGGAGCTAAAGTTATTCTGACAGCAACATTGTGATTTGTTGCCGCACTGAATATGATGGATGCGTACATCTGTCACTGCCTGGCAGCTGTAGCCATCCAATCAGCGTGGCATTGATCTTCGACCGTAGCACGACCATATGGTGCATCAATATACCCACTCACACTTTACTCTCTTCCACCATGGCAGAACTCATTGGACTCCTCGCAAGTATCCTCCAACTTGTTGACACTGTTGTGAAAGCAGAGGTACTGCTCAAGGATCTGCACAATGCACATAAAGACCAAGCTCGGATCTTCTCTGAAGTTCAATCCCTCCAGCCACTCATAGCTGCATTGCAGCAGCGCATTCTGGCAAATAGTTCAGCCACTGGGATGCAACAAATCGTGGATCCTCTACGCCAATTTGAGGATACAATGATACATTTCAGCAAGAAATTGAAAGTGGCTGACAGTTCACTGGGAAGGATGTCAAAGTCGCTGGCCTGGAGCCTATGGTCAAAAGAGGAAGCCAAAGAGGATCTCAGCAAACTGGAGCGCTTCAAGTCCTTGCTCAATACCTGGTTGACAGTGGACATTTGGTGTGATTCTTCCATACAGCTGTTATATGTTCTAACCCTGGACCAGGGACATCAGTCAGCACCAGATCAAGAGGAATAATGGTGAGTGATATGTACATGCAATAGAAAGGGGCCTAACAGGCAATTGGAAACTTTAGATATTCTTATTGCAGTGAGCTCAGCTCATAAGCAACAACAGGCCGATCACAATGGTGAGCATAATCGACCCTTCTTGTTCAAAACTGGAGGCTTACAATTCTTCAAAGAACAACAGCAAGATCATGATCGTGAGTACATGTGGAGGAGTGTATCAATT